GTCATCATTGGCTCTCGTCAAAAAAACAACAACACTGGTTCTAATAAGTGGAATAACTACACCGAGGTTAAAATGTTTTTACAAGCTGCACGCTGTTTCAAAGATTCAAAGATACTCTATTTGTTAACCATCCAGGAGCGGCACTCAGGTCAAAATTTCATTTTCATACAATCGTTCCAAATTGGGATGTGGTGTCCGATGCCTTGCTGCCATCGTTTTTCCAAAACTTTGTTAAAAAATAAGCCAAATAATGTCTTTCAATAACCCTGTTCGTGAAGGAAAAATGGGGTAAACGTAACTTAACACTAATATAAATTCTATTGAGTTTGTTTCACAAACTGACTTGATAGGGGACCAAGTCATCTATTAGAGAACATGTAATTATTGGTAGCAGTCATCAAAGAAAACAAAGTTTACAGTTTAATTGATACCAAATAATAGGCTGTAGAACAAATGGAAAGTGGTCACCATGTCCTCCGGCAGCCTAAGCCTAGAGCAGCATAACTTAGATAACCAAATTGACTTAAACTACACAAGCTTTTTCAAAACGGAAGGTCTGAAACCTTGTCTTAAAAGCAAGCTACTCTAACATTTGAAGCTTGTCAGATTATCACTTTAAAATAAAGTATTGGGCAACTCGCCACAATGCAGGCACTCACCAACTCTGACAGGGAAGGCAAGAAGAAGCAGCAATAAGATGGAGGAGCTGCAGATATTTCTACAGCTCAGATTAGATAATATGCTGATGGGACAATTTCAAGTTGTGCACTCCACAAATCTGAGCCTCATGGAAGAGTGGCAAGAAGACAGAAGATGGAAATCAATAAATCCATGCAGAGCAGACAGAAAATATGCAGCAAAGCTGAACCTTGGTTCTGTATGCAAAGCATTCTGTGGTTTAACACGGCTTTGAATCAGATGATATCCATGTTTAAAAAGGCCCAAGTCAACGTTCAGATCTAAATCTAATTTCATGCCTGGGATTAAGACTTAAATAAATCTGAGTTAATCGGGTATAATGCTGCCTTTCATCTAATGTCTCTCCTGAAGTAACAAAAAACACCCCACCTATAAGTATTTGTATTTAGGAGTAAAATCAAATGAAATGTTTAACAGAAACAGTTCAGTTACAGAGGGCAATTACAATCAGGAAGAAAACCTCAGCTTATCGCTCTTCTACGATTCATATAAGGTCCATGGGTGAATGAATAACTTAAACATATGCGACCCCACTTATAGGAGGAATGTGGACTAACCACGCTGCGTGACAACTTATCACTCCGTAACAGCAAAGCTTTTTTTCCACCATAGAGAAATACATTTTATAACGGAGAATCACAGCCGAAGAGCAGAGAACAAAGCTTCACATATAGATACGGGCCTCAGGGTTTGGTTGAGGAGGAGCAGGATTCAGATGGTGACTGTGAATGTTTGACAGGAACACAGTCTGATCTGCTCTGATCTTTGCAGAGGTTGCAGATGTCATCCTGTATCATGCATGCAGCGTGGGCTGCTGGGGAAGACTCTGATAGTAGTTCCAGCCGGGGGTGTAAAGCAGTGTTACCCTTTTTTTTTTTTATTTCCACTCTGCTCGGTAACTCTACCTTTCGCTTATCTTGGTTAACCCTCAGCACAGCTTATTTTGGTTTACTGTGGCAAATCTGTTTCCACTACATCTCAACGCCTACAGGACAAATCCTATTTTGGGGAAACTGAAAATACTGTGCGGTGACTTCTGAGAAACATTAAAAACCATGTTATGGAGGCTACTGGCGCTCTAGGGTGTCTAAGTCGAGGTTAAAAGCAGGACGAAAACTAATTGGAGCAGGGGCGGTTCTAGAGCAGAATGTACCAGGGGGCCAGCGTGTTTTCATGGGGGCACAGAAAAGCATGAAAAAAAAGAAAAAAAAAGGACAAGCGATTGAAATATATTAATATAGTTGCATGAAGTGAAATTTCTATTCTTAAAATTCCATTTCTTATTAGGTCAAGATACATTCATAATTTAAGAATTTGACATATTTTTGACTTAATTTAAGTTAGAATTACTTTTCTATTTTCTATAAAATCTGAATCAGAGCATTGATTTTATTTATTTATTTTTTTAAACATTTAGCAGATGAAAAAAGGGATCCTATCTCAATATCACTGAAGCTATCACCTTATTGTTTTTAAATAATTAGTAAAACAGAATTTGTAAAGAAAATAATTAAATAGATCAAAAGGACGTATCAGTAACCATGTCTGTTCCAGCGCATATCATCATTAAATTTCTTTTAGTATTATGTCTTCAGTACAGGGGCCATAACAGGGGAGAACATGATCTACAGGAGCACTGGCCCCCGTTGGCCCCTGTCTAGAACCACCCATGAATTGGAGTGAATTGGGACCTCGACGTCTGAAAAGCTTTTAATAGTATCCAGATTTCTATAAAGAGTTATCTCTTATGGAGTCGATCTTTTAACCTTCTCTTACTTCAGGAGGCTTCATAGGTAGCACAATGTACTCATCAGTTGGCAAATGATTTCCCATCAGGAGGACGGATCAGAGATTACATGAGTTTGTCTTTACTGAAAATTAGAAATGCTATGCTGTCCTGCTGCCACATGCCTGTTCTCCACCTCACTGTTTAAACACACATACACCCATCTGCTGCCAGCGTTGAAAGGGCTCTGCACCGGCGGCACCAGGTTTCTATGGTGGAATCCTCAGACATCCGTGAATTGGGTTCAGTTTAAAAATACTTTCTCTCTTAAAAGTGTTTCTTTAAACCACTTAGAGGCGCTGATAAATGTATGTGGAATAGATTCTCTGTAGCCGTCTGTCTTACAGTGGCTATGAAGAAGCCTCTGACTGAAGACACACTAGGTGTTGAAGTCTTGATGGAGATGATGCTCCTTGTTCTGCATAATGTTCTTCATTTAATGAGGAATCATTCTTTGTTAAATCACCTCCAGAGGTTCTAGAGATAACTAGCATTTTGCCACAAAACCGAGCACCCCGAGCTTCAGTAGTCCCATCTGACTAATCTAATTGAGAAGACCGAGGTATTTATACATCTCCACTTCTTCTCCTATGGTGTTTACAGGATTAAAATTGTTCCTATTTCTTCAGAAATCGACAATAATCTCTCTTGTTTTGTTCACATTCAGATCAGATGATTGCACCTAATGTCTACAGTCACCTGAGTATTTCTGCAGGTATCAGGACTTAGTTTGGTACTGGAAGTCAGAGGCGTGCAGAGTAAAAAGGAATGGTTAGAGTACTCTCCCCTGTGGTGCTCCTGTGCTGCTGACTTCTTGATTAGACAGCTGACCCTGCAGTCGAACAAACTGTGGTTAGGACTCATCAGGTAGACTTTGATCAATTCAATTGAATTCAGTTTATTTCTATAGCATGAATTCACAACACATATCAATTCAAGGCTCTTTCAAGTTCACCAGATCATCCAGTCAGATTGATTCAAAGTTTTCTATCTAAGGGAAACCAATTAATTGCAGCGACTCATTGACTCAAATACAATCTCTCACACTAAACATGCTTGCAGCGACAGTGGAGAGGAAAAACTCCCTTTTAACAGGAAGAAACCTCCAGCAGAACCAGGCTCAGCGTGAGCGGCCATCTGCTGAGGCTGACTGATCCAGGCGATCGTTGCCTTTAATTGATTCTTCTGAAGTTTCTGATGAAGATTAGCAGGGGGTCCTGATAGCTGCTTATTTGCCTGCTCAGATGGGACTGACACCATCTGGACCTGCAGGACTATTGCCATTCATCTCATGCTGTGTGTTTACTTCTAGTTACAGACAGGTGGAAGGCGGAGGGAGCTGCACCATCTTCTGATACAGACGACATAGAGGCAGAAAGGTCCTTGGATGATATGAATTATGAAACATTTGAAGTTGAAAAAGGGAAACTAAAACTTTTATTCATCCAGATGGTCCATCAAATAAAATAATTTTAGCCAGTGTTCTTTATAAGATCTATTTTGATGTGGCGTAATTGTGGCTGTATGTTTTTTTTATTGGAGTTAATCATTACTAACAGTAGAGACACATACTTAAAAAATGTTTTAGTTTTGTAAAGTAATTTGTTGGGATTTTTTTCCTACATTACTGGATTAGATTAAACTGCTTTAGTCAGTCTGTTAACAGATTGATCTTTAATCCATTTGACCCAAAATGTGAGTAAAAGCTACGCCAAAAAAAAATAAAAACAACAACAAAATAGTTGATCAGTTTATCCTTTTATAATAGGGCCAATTTAGTTTGAATAACTTTGTACCTTTAAAAATAAAAAAGTTAGCTTTACACTATTCCACTCAAAGAATAAGAATTCTTAAAAGCAAAAGCAAACCAACCCAGGCGTGCTCCAGCACACACAACCAATCTGGTTGTTAATCACTTGCCTCACAATCAAAGGTTATAAAGATTATGATCCAAGAAAACAAATGAGCCAAAAAAAAGTGCAGTTTCAAAATACTGACGTGTTTATTATGCTTGAAATCAGATACAAAAAAACAATAACTTTGCAGCCGAGTTCAGACATACGTGTAAAAAATGTGATCTCTGTAAATGAAAGGTTGACATAATGTACCGGGTTGAACGCCTCTCATTGCCCTGCAGATAAGAGATATTAACGGTGACATTTGAAGATAAAGGGTCGGTGGAGGGAGACACCAGTGATTTCCCTCGGCTGTGGGGAGACACTCCGCCCTCAAGTTTCCATGCAGACATTTCATAAATATAAAAACCCCAAGCAGTCAGCAGCAGGTGGATCATCTGAAACCTTTGTTCTAAATGAGGCACAGTCACAGGATGCAGAATAAACACAAGGCTGCCATGAGGAAGTCTGTCACAGTAAAAAAAAAATATTAGTAAAATTTAAAAATGTAGAACTGATGAGACAACTTCCATGTCTGAGAGGATCTTTCTATGTTCAGAAAAACTACAGCTCTCTCTCTCTGGTTTGCTGATCAGGAAATGATTCAAACGGTTTCGTTATTTTGCTTTAAGTCATTCAAACCCAGGTTAGAGTGAAAATAGCAGCAGAAATCTGGCCCTCATCTGAAGCGGCTCCTCTCTTTATCCTTCGACCTCCTGGGCGAGCGGCTGCGGCTCCGGTCCCTGTGACCTTTGTCCCGCCCCTCCTTCCCGTGCTTGGGCCGGGACCGGCCGTGTTTCTGGTCCCTGTCTCTGGAGCGGGAGCGAGAGCGGGAGCGCTGGTTGCCTGACTTCCTGTCGCGTCTGCTCTCCTCGCTGTTCTGAAGAGAGGAGCACAAAAAGCAGATCAGACTGCTGGGAAACTTAAAAACATAATAGGTGACCTCTGCCACTTTAATCACTTATCCAACAGGTTTAAGGCCACAAATCCTGCCAACTTTCATATCCTTTAAGGAACAGAAAGCTCAGGCTTCTTAGAACAAGAGAAACAACAGGAACACTGATGAGAAGGATATTAAAGGAGCACAAGGAACAAGGAAACTGATATTCCACAGGAGAACATGAGCATTATTTGCCTACTGGCATCATTCCTGGCAAACCCAATGTGATGGTCATAAAACCTAGATGAGGCAGGTCTGCCTGCTCCTCTGTTAGGATGGCAGGCCTCAGCATTTCTAAAACCTGATCACCGTTCCCACACTAAATAGAATCATCCTCTTGTTCTGCCACAGGATTCCATCAAACGCTTAGGGTTTGATGGAAGGTGGAATAAATAAAATCACTTCCTCATTAAGGCACGGCTTCTCTGTCCACTGATTAATCATCATTCATTCATCATCATGACACAGCTATACTTTTTTTTTTTTTTAATCATCTCCCATCTGCTTATTTGTTTATTTAAGTTATACCTTGCTGTATCACAGAAAATCTGCTTCTTATACGTTGGTGAAGATTCTCAATCATCCAGTTCATAATCATTCCAAAAAAGTAAAAAAAAAAAAAACAATCCACTTGAATTTGTTTTCAAGTTTGAAGACGTTTTACTTCCCATCCAGGAAGCTTTTTCAAACATTTTTTTTTAGCAGTTTGGCTAACTCTATTCTCACATCCACTGCTCTATTAGCAGTTTGGCTAACTCTATTCTCACATCCACTGCTCTATTAGCAGTTTTGCTAACTCTATTCTCACATCCACTGCTCTATTAGCTGCTCTATTCTCACATTCACTCCTCTATTAGCAGTTTTGCTAGCTCTATTTGCTTGTCCACTGCTCTTTTAGTAGTTTTGGTAACTAGTCTCATATCCACTGATCTATTAGCAGTTTGGCTAACTCTATTCTCACATCCACTGCTCTATTAGCAGTTTTTCTAACTCTATATAATCATCCACTGATCTATTAGCAGTTTGGCTAACTCTATTCTCACATCCACTGCTCTATTAGCAGTTTGGCTAACTCTATTCTCACATCCACTGCTCTATTAGCAGTTTTGCTAACTCTATTCTCACATCCACTGCTCTATTAGCAGTTTTGCTAACCCTATTCTCACATTCACTCCTCTATTAGCAGTTTTGCTAACTCTATTCTCACATCCACTCCTCTATTAGCAGTTTTGCTAACCCTATTCTCACATCCACTCCTCTATTAGCAGTTTTGCTAACCCTATTCTCACATCCACTCCTCTATTAGCAGTTTTGCTAACTCTATTCTCACATCCACTTCTCTATTAGCAGTTTTGCTAACTCTATTCTCACATCCACTTCTCTATTAGAAGTTTTGCTAACTCTATTCTCACATCCACTGCTCTATTAGCAGTTTGGCTAACTCTATTTTCACATCCACTGCTCTATTAGCCGTTTGGCTAACTCTATTCTCACATCCACTGCTCTATTAGCAGTTTTTCTAACTCTATATAATCATCAACTGCTCTATTAGCAGTTATGCTAACTCTATTCTCACATCCGCTGCTCTATTAGCAGTTTTGCTAGCCCTATTCTCACATTCACTCCTCTATTAGCAGTTTTGATAACCCTATTCTCACATTCACTCCTCTATTAGCAGTTTTGCTATCTCTATTCTCACATCCACTTCTCTATTAGCAGTTTTGCTAACTCTATTCTCACATCCACTGCTCTATTAGCAGTTTTGCTAACCCTAATCTCACATCCACTCCTCTATTAGCAGTTTTGCTAACCCTATTCTCACATCCACTCCTCTATTAGCAGTTTTGCTAACTCTATTCTCACATCCACTTCTCTATTAGCAGTTTTGCTAACTCTATTCTCACATCTGCTGCTCTATTAGCAGTTTTGCTAACTCTATTCTCACATTCACTCCTCTATTAGCAGTTTTGCTAACCCTATTCTCACATTCTCACATCCACTCCTCTATTAGCAGTTTTGCTAACCCTATTCTCACATCCACTCCTCTATTAGCAGTTTTGCTAACTCTATTCTCACATCCGCTGCTCTATTAGCAGTTTTGCTAACCCTATTCTCACATCCACTCCTCTATTAGCAGTTTTGCTAACCCTATTCTCACATCCACTTCTCTATTAGCAGTTTTGCTAACTCTATTCTCACATCCGCTGCTCTATTAGCAGTTTTGCTAACCCTATTCTCACATCCACTTCTCTATTAGCAGTTTTGCTAACTCTATTCTCACATCCACTCCTCTATTAGCAGTTTTGATAACCCTATTCTCACATTCACTCCTCTATTAGCAGTTTTGCTAACTCTATTCTCACATCCGCTGCTCTATTAGCAGTTTTGCTAACCCTATTCTCACATCCACTCCTCTATTAGCAGTTTTGCTAACTCTATTCTCACATCCACTTCTCTATTAGCAGTTTTTTTTTTTTTTTGAACTTAATTTTTTTTATTTTTAATAACAGATGAACACAGTTACAATCTTTGTCTCCACCGACCTAAGCCACTATATTACACGAGACATTGAAAGGTGAGTCAGTGGGTGTTCTAACACATGTAATAATGCATACATGACAACAGATTGAAATCAACAGGCAGATAACAGTAAAATAAAATAAAATGGTACACAGCACTTGAATGAATCCCCTCCTGAGACAAGACAATCCACACATTCATAGTATTTTCCATCGACCAAAGATATACGCTAATGCAAAAGGGCTATCCTGTAGCTGTGTCACTGAGTTAGTAACGGTATGACAGAGCTCCATCTTGTATTAAAAACTGTTTTTTGAAACCTTAGGGAATATGTTATTCCTTCCATCATGTAAATGTCCCAAACTTTTTGTATCCATATGTTATATGTAGGAGGCTCTGGCTTCAGCCATCTGACAGTTATGCATTTCAATGCTGCTGTAAGCAAGATTCTTAACAGGTATCTATCCCCCTTCCTGTCTATTCCATCGGGTATTTCTCCCAGAATTGCCACCAATGGAGTTTTTGGGACATTTCTCCTGAAAATTACTTTAAGTGCTTCAAAGATGTCCTCCCAGAATACACTTAGTTTAGGGCAGGACCAAAAGATGTGCGTATGATTTGCAATCTGTGTCCCGCAGTTTCTCCAACATGAACTTGGTTGAGTTGGGCCCATTTTACTGGTTATTGTTGGCGTTCTGAAAAATCGGACTATTACTTTCCATTTGAATTCTCTCCATGTGTTAGAATTTGTTGTTAATTGTGCGTCGGTACACATTTCTTCCCATGTGTCCTCTGTTATTGACTCCTGCAGTTCAGTTTCCCATTTAAGCTTTATGTTTGTGGAATCATGCCCGTTCATAGACAGAAACAGGTTATATATTTTACTAATTACATTGTTATTACCTTTTCCCCTTTGTATGTCCATTAGGAAATTTTCTATGGGTGCAGATTCACGGAGTTTAGTCCAATTATTGTGTGTTGTTACAAAGGTTCTAAGTTGTAGGTATCTATAGAAGTCTGTCTTAGGGAGACCAAATTCACTTTTCATCTGCTCGAAGGTTTTGAAGTTTCCCTCTTTAATTAATTGATGGATATGAGATAGTCCATAATTAGACCAGTTTTTGAACCCGGAATCTAAATTGTTTGGTGTAAATGTCTTTATAAATCCTATATTTGATAAAAGTGAAATCTGCTTTGATAACTTAAAAGCCGATTGTATTGATTTCCAGACTTTAAGGGTATTTTTTGTCCAGGTTGTCATTTCCTTTGCAGGGGTATCTAAGAAAGGTAATGTTTGCAGTGGTACTGAGCATCTGCTTTCTTCTATTTCCAACCAGCGAGTATCTGCACTATTCTGTAGCCATGCTAGTAGGGGTTTAAGTTGTGCAGCCCAGTAGTAATATTTTAAATTTGGGAGTTTAAAGCCCCCCTTGGATTTAGGTAACTGTAGAGTTTTCAGTCTGATTCTAGGACGCTTTTTTTGCCAAATGAATCCAGTTATCATTTTATCTATTGTGTCAAAGGTAGATTTGGGAATTTCCACAGGTAGCATCTGGAATAAATAGAGTAGTCTTGGTAACACATTCATGCGGATACTTTCAACACGTCCTATCAGAGAGATGGGGAGGGTATCCCAACGCTCCAGGTCATTTTTAATGATTCGTAGAAGTTTATTATAGTTTGTCTCATAGAGGTCACATAGAGACGGAGGTATTTGAATACCCAGATATTTGATACCGTTCTTGGGCCATTTGAATCCACTCTGTACTTTTATGAGGTCTGAAATTGTGCTATTTACATCCATAGCTTCCGTTTTTTCTATGTTGATTTTATAACCTGAATAGAATCCATATTGAGAGATGAGCTCTTTTAGGTGGGGGATTGTTGATTTAGGTTCTGTCAAGTACAACAATACATCATCAGCATATAATGAAATTTTGTGTACGTCTTTATTGATTTCTATCCCTTTAATATTAGGATCCTCTCTAATGAGTTGAGCTAGTGGTTCAATACTAATGGCAAACAGGAGGGGTGAGAGTGGGCATCCCTGTCTGCACCCCCGTTCTAATGAGAATCTAGTAGACCTATAGCCGTTAACTTTAACTACTGCCTGTGGAGAGGAGTAGAGTGTTTTCACCCAATCAACAAAATATGGACCAAATCCAAAGCGTTTAAGGGTATGAATTAAATATTTCCAGGAGACTCTATCAAACGCCTTTTGGGCATCTAAAGAGATGATTGCTGATTCAATCTTTCTCTCTCTTTGAACGCTTGTTAGGTTTAGTAAGCGTCTTAGATTATCACCATAGTACCTACCAACAATAAATCCTGTCTGATCGGGGTGTATGATTTGGGTGATAAATTTGTTAAGTCGTCTTGCTAGGATTGCTGTAAGTATGCGTGAGTCTGTATTCAATAGT